TGGCGTGATGTCGTCCGGCGTCCTCGAGCGGGTCGTTCGTCTTGCGGCTTCACCCTTTCTCTTCTCTCTCTGCTTCTTCCCTCAGCGGCCGTAGTCCTCGACCTGGAGACCTCATCGTCCTGGGAGAACACAGCAGCTTCTCGTCTCGCACGTACACTCCTCTCTCTTCTCTCAACACTCAACGCACCTTCTCGAAAACTCTCTCTCTCTCTCAACTCTCGCCACGAAAACCCGTCAAGTCACCGAAGCTCTCGCTGCTCGCGCTTAAGCGTGCAGCTCGAGGCTTTGCTCCCGACTGACTCAAAATTCACGATCTCTTGCTCAAGCAATGGCGGCCGCCACTGCCACCGCATGGTATCTCCTCTCGCAGTCACTCTCATACTTAGCAGCTGCTGTGTCTCGGTAGTCGCATTCACACTTTCCTTGTCCTTTTCTGCTGGCGCTGCTGTGTCTCTGCATCTCAACTATTTGTCCGTTGGCGTCCTCGTCCCGTCCTCTCAGCGTGTATACAGTTCCCGAAAAACAAACAGTTCGGAGAAGCGTCAAATTAATGCTCTTTGTAAACACGTTGCATCAGCGAGAGCATTTTGAAATATAGAGGCTATTTTGCCTCGTTACAACTAATGCAATACAAGTTTTACGAAAAAATCTACCATTGTTAAAAGAAATATGCACATTTATGATTTGACTGGAGAAACAGGTGTTAATAGAAAACTTATTTCCTTACTTCGATGTAAATTGATTAGACATGGGACAAATTAATGATTAATACCTGCACCTTTTACGAGTGGCTAAGATAAGGCTTCACAAGTTTACGTGATATAGAAATGTAATAAGGAGCTAAATGACATACATGCGAATCTGTTATTACATACAGAGTGTACTGGTATATACTATGGTATTCAAGTTTTATCTAACGTATTAAAATGGAGGATTAGCTGTACTTATTTTTTTAACCAGTCTGCTTACGATAATATGTGTAACAATTGTTATGTGACAATTAATTAATTTTTCATTGGCTTGTAACAGCTGATTGACCAAGAGTATAATTGTACAACAAATATCATTGTGTCCCTTAACTGTCATATTAAATAATTACAACATATATACATGAATCAATGATTTTATTTAGAAAACATTAGTCTTGTTAGTGATAGATCCTATCAAAATTTTTTTCTATTTTAGGAATTGCGTTACAATTTCTATACTTTCGATGAGTCTTTGATAAAATGTCATTTTACTCCAATAACTTTAGTCCTCGGACTTTATTATATAATTAGCATTTTCTGTCTTGCTGACCGTCCCCTTGGCAGTATAGTACAAAGTATAGTATGATTGGATTATTCTCTTTTATGTAAAGTTCTTAAGCAAGCTTGTCAAGATAAAGAGTTTCTTGGGCCACTGAGGTGAGTTGTATAGGTACATGCAAAGTCGCAATGGTCGATTTCTTAGAGATCCAACTAGTGGAATATCCTTAAAACTTGCATATGGGTCCACTAACTATTCAGAGTGTCAAAAAAGTGTGTAAATTTTTTCAATCATTTTAACCATAAATTTGTTTATCGATAAAATTTAAACTGTTAAAACAAGCTCTTGAGAACAATAATGAATTTAGACTTATTTTTCATTAATAAAAAAATTTGCGGTAAAAATATTGAAGAAATTCCCACAGTTTTCTGGTATATTAAATAGTTATTGTTAACGTTTTACTGCTTTTTCAGTATTTCGTAAAATCATTGAACCTCCTTGGACATGAATTTTTAGTTTATGTGCAGTGTCCTTTTTTTCAGCCGGGCCAACACGTAGGTATTCTGTGAAGAGCTCCAGAGGAACGAGTCATCATTCATATGCCCCCTAACAGTAGTAAGTTTTATTGGGAATGGTTTCTAGGATTATTTTGAAATATATTCAAAATTTTAGCAGTCCTGTGTGAAAAAACAGCTATTCGCTTTTTTGCAACCCTGGCTGAATATCGGAATATTCGTACTATGCAAATCCTAAAACAAATATTTATTGAAATTAATAAAAGATTGTGCGAATATTATTAAAAAATGATATAAATAATGTTGTTTATAACCAAAATATGGGAAGTAATTTTAGTCCGTCTATATCTCGTAAGCCATAAAAACGTCAAACAAGCTAAACTTTTTACGCTGTTTTGACAGTCCGGTACATGCAATATAACATCATGTTTTCTTCTGGTAGCAGCATCGAGGCTGTTTTGCTCGACTTCGTTAAAAAACGTCGTTACGAAAACGGTGTTACGAAAACCGTCTTACTTGATAACTTGCAGTTTCAAAGCTTCATACCTTTATAAACTGAATGGTTTAAAATCTATAAATCGAAGGTCAATTAATTAATTAATAAAAAAAATTTTAATGGTAAAACTATTTTTTTAAATGAAAACTGACGTTAATGTCAATTTTATGGTTTTTACTAGTACTGATATGGATTTTTATGGAAAGTGTCCTAAATATGTATTATAGATATAACTTTAACATGTGATGGGTGTTATCCTTACTGACATCCGAGTTCAAAATTTTTTTTCTTCTAGTATATGACATTATGAATAAAATGAGCCCTGTTTCAAGGGTATGTCCAAAAAAAAATTTTTTTTTTTAAAGAGGGGGGCAAAAACGGAATATTTTTTGTGGATAATCACAAATATTACTTGTACTTTTTATTAAATTTTTTTTTGTACTGACAGTTTTTCCTTGTAAAAAAATTTTTGAAACGGCATAAGCTCTTATTAAATTGGAAGTCATTTACTTATTTCTAATATATTTATATACATTTTAGTGGTTACGTTTAATTTGCTTTAAAAATTTAATCATGTATATGTCCTAATATTACATGTGTGAACGAGTGGAAATAAGTATGGGTCTTGGTCATATGAGTATCATGATGTCATTGACGTAGTTATATACGTTCTTCGTATCGGGAGATAGCTTGTTGTCAAAAATATGAAAAAGTTTAAGTACTGTAATCTACCGGCATAGCGCTGTTACACATACTTTAATACTTTTCATAAACCAAGTCAGACACTGTTATACGTATAGTATACCAAGTCATCAAGTATGAACGTTGGTTACCAGCTCACGTGGCTCTTTTTAATTTTACAGTTGTAACGTACGGAAAGTACTTAGTTCATCTGCCTTTTACGTGTTTTTTAAGTTTTTCGTATCATCATAAATAACTCCTTTATCGTAAAATCGTGGTAGTTAAATACAAATTCAACTGCACATTAAAATTCAGCCTTCAGGCATAAGTACCTATTATCAACGCTTACATTTCGTCATTCAATCATTTAGTTTGAGCCACTAATAGCTGTGCACGCGCGAATGAAGCTTCAAAAGTGTAGCCAACTAGCGTTACAAATATACTAGTCAGACTTTGAATATCAATAGTGTGCTGCTTTGTTTGAACAGAGGTAATTATTTAATCAGTGCTTCTAAATGTTTTTTTACAAAGATTTTGTCCTTTTTTAAAAAGAAAAATTAAAGTAAAACACAATTAGGTAAGGTATCTTCAGCAGTACCATCAAACTAATTGTAGATTAAATTTTTGTGCATTTCAATAACGATAAACTTAAAGTTATTAAGGCTTGCATGCATTAGATTATCCTTAGAAATATTTTCATTCAAAAGATTAAAGTCAAGCAAATAAGACACAATGGTAAGAAAATTTGTGAGTGATCTAGACGGGAAAAATTTTGGCTGCTGAGAACTTGTATGGTTGTTTACTATGGAGTCCAAAATTCCTTAAGCAAAGTACTACTAGTTCAAAACAAAAGCAGCGAACCCAAGTATTTACGAAACTTTCCTTAAAATTGGTATTGTTTAGTGTCAACTAAAGTAAGGACGCCACAGCTCGAAGTTCGATACCTCAGGTAATCAAAGTGCCAAAGAGAAAAAAAATATGAAAAGTGGTGGTCATTTATAGCACACAAAATCAAGGATAAAATTCGTTCGGAAGTATAATGAAAATTTAAAGAACAATGTCTAAAATCAGACTCTCAACAGCCATAATCCATGCGTGTTTTCTTGCTAACATTGTCAATCGCTTAGTGAAAAGATTGATCAAATTGATCCGAAAAAAATTGCCATATCCAAAAATGCTTATTGCAGTCAATTGATAATGATCTTATTAAAATCTTACTTTGCAACAAAACATGCACACTCATAATATACGTATAAATAATACGATATCTGGAAACCTTTCGCGCGTTTCGTAAGTGTCAACCTCGGGTTAGCGTGCTCAGAAAATGTTTAAGCTTTCATTAGACAAAGTTTTTTTTTGTTTACGTACACCTAAAAAAAATAAAATTTACATAATTATTTCAGTAAACCAATCTTATATTTCATGAGTGGAACATATTCATGGGTAGACAGGGTAGACATGTTGTTTGAGCCTTTTCTTCTACGGGTCTACTACTATACATCATATTCATCAAAATGATGCAATAACCGTGCGTAAGTTGGACAACAGTAAATATTATTATAAATGATGTACAAGATTTGCGATTCACACATAATTTGTTTTAACTTATTTTTTGGGTTCCAGATTTAAAAGAGTGAAAAAAATTACTGCAGGATCCTGCAAGTCTTCTTCGCATGGCTTTATTTTGTCCTTCCATCACTGGTAATTTTTATGCACAAATCCACTATCAAAATATTTCAAAATTTTCACGCGAGTAAATTATGCTTTTTTTTGTTTAAAAATCGCAAAAATTGTAGGGAATATCTAATGCAGCTTTTGATTGAAGATAAAAAAATTGTATTCACATCAATTTGACATCAAAATAGTACTTTTAAAAAAGTGTAAAGTAATAAGTACGTGGAGAAAAAAAAATTTGAAACTCTTCTTTTGGAGGAGAGAAAAGGTAAAAAGATTGCTTTAAATAAATTTAATATTTCAACAGTTGGTAATAAATAAAGGCTGATTTTAATTTTATTTACTTGAATTGTACATTACACAAAATTTGTATTACTGTTTTACAGGTATTACCAGAATCTGAAGTAAAAACACAAGACAGTCAAAAAAACTGTATCATGACTTTTATAAAATATTATTACGTATTATTTTGGGCTTCATTTGCTATGGTGTGTGGCCTCTTGCTCTTTACAAATGGATTTTTTCTTCGTAAAAATGGACTAACACAATCGAATAACGTTTCTACATCTCGTACCGATTTTAAGCCACAGGCACGTGTTATAATATTGCTTGTAGATGCCTTAAAGTATGAATTTACCATTAAGTACAAACATGAAGACGCAGATGGTACTTTCCATAGAAATAAACTTCCGGTGATCAGTGAAACTCTACAAAGGTATCCCAGGAGTTCAAAACTTTTTAAATTTGTGGCAGACCCTCCAACAACAACAATGCAAAGGCTGAAAGCTTTAACCACCGGAACTTTGCCGACATTTATCGATATTAATAAGAATTTTGCTGCAGATACAATCGAAGAAGACAATATCATTGCTCAAAATCAAGAGAATGGAAACATTGTTACAGGAGACTGTACTTGGAATAAGTTTTATCCAGGAAAATTCTTAAGAGACCATACTGTGTATTCGTTTGATGTATTTGATCTAGATACAGTAGATAGGAGCGTCAGAGAAAATGTTTTCAATGAAATGGATAATAAAGATTGGACACTTTTGATAGGTCATATGCTAGGAATCGACCATTGTGGACACACGTATGGCATGAATCATCCAGAAATGTTAAGAAAGTTGAACGAAACAAACATTTTTATAAAAGATGTCATTGAAAAAATCAACAAAAACGAAGAAGACACGGTACTTTTCATCATGGGTGATCATGGAATGACCAAAAGTGGAGATCATGGTGGGGAGAGTTCAGATGAAACTGATGCAGCCTTGTTTGTGTATTCCACTTTACCACTTATTAGTGAAAGCACGGATTTAAATATTAAATCGTCATCGACTGTTAGACAAATTGGTTTTGTACCTACTATATCAGTTATTTTAGGGACGCCAATTCCGTTTTCGAATATTGGAGGCCTGATCTTTGAAGCACTGCCACTCAAAGTATCAACGGAAAATGTCAATTCCTTCATCTTACACTCATTGTGGAGAAATATATTCCAAGTTCAAAACTACCTAAGTACTTATTCTAGTGAAAACTTTTTTTCTGACAAAGTTCAGTTGGATCAAATCAAACACATGTACAACGAACTTTTAGAGCAAGTGAAACTTGTAAAGTTGGATGAAGACTTGAAAGACTTCATAAGCTTATCAAATACATATTTTTCAACAGTAAGATATGTTTGCTATAAAGAATGGGTTCAATATAACAATAACCTAATGACTGGAGGGTTGCTCATTATGTTTTTGTCTGTGTTGTCACTGTTAACAATATTAAGCACTGGATTGGTTGATGAAAAAATCCACTTAAAATTACAATCATGGTTTAGGACATCTTTATTGGTCACAATTGTGATAGCCATAGTCCCAATTATAGTATTGTACTGTTCAAGAATTGTAGACTTACAAAGTACTTTACTTTTTTCTTATGGTTCGTCATCTATCATTGCTTTTGCAGTATTACTGATTGAAAACTTGGATTATATATTTAACTCATGGTGTCGAGAGTTAATGCGTATAAAAAATATTGATAATCTTTTTTTGACGTTTGTCTTAATCCCCTCTACATTCGGAGTTTTTTCAAATAGTTACATTTTAGAAGAAAACAAAATCTTATCTTTTTTTGTCATCACTATGTTTTGTTTCCTCATTTACTTCAGACAAAGTAAAAATTATTCATCCACAATCAAAGGAAAGGGAAGATCGAATTGCTTAATATATACTTGTGTTTCATCTGTGATAGTCTTTTTTGTAAGTGTGATCATTAGAATCTCGCAGTTTTACTGGAGATACAGACCAGAAGAATTTGATAAAATAAAAGAAAATGAATTAAACAGTAGTTATTTGATCATCGGAAAAAAAGGATCGATTACTCCACAGCAAGAAATTTATTTTGCGATGGGAGCAACAGTTTCAATAGTAATGTTTTACATTATGTTTAATTTGTGGCTACAGAAATATAATAATTTCCCCGAATATTATTCAAATATAAAAAGGAATACGTGCTTATCAAAAATCGTGCTGCTATTGACTTTTTTTTATTGGCTATTAAAGTTAAAGATATGTAATAATCTAAACCTCATAAATGTGAATTTCATCCCAGTGATAATTTACATGGTCATAAGTAGTGCTGCAATTGTAACGTTTTATTGGCCGATATCAATATTTCTGCTTTCAAAAGAAAATACAATGAAGATCAGAACAGAAGAAGTTACAATACCAAAAATATGCGAGAAATTAAAAAAAACATTTGACATAAAAAAAAGCGAGTATGAAACTGAAACTTCTATTGTGTATGGACTGGAAACTATATACAGCTCAAGTTTTATTTCACTCGGCATGTTATTGAATCTCCTATACATTCTGTTATTGGGATTTTTAATTGCTCCAAGTGTCATCATGATGAATATTGCTTGTATTATATTACTATATGTTAGTGCCATAGATCGAGTTCGTAATGCAGCTAATCTAGGTAAGGAAAGCACAAGATATTCGATTCAACATTTTTTAAATTTCCAGAAACAACCATTTTTGATTTTCGATGTTTGTAGAAGAATTAGTGCGTGTTCCCATTCACGTGGTATTATGCTGGTTTTTGATTGCTGAATACTTTTTCTTTGCTACTGGCCATCAAGCAACTTTTTCGTCCATTCACTGGGATGCTGGATTTATAGGAATCGATGGCTCGTTGTCTTCAGTTATGTTCCTTCGAGCAGTACTGATAAGTAAAATCATTTTTTTAATATTCGAACCATTATTCACACTATCTAAAATAGATTCATTCATAGTTATTTTTTCCATATTTTTAGTAATTAACACGTACGGTTCGCACATTATCTTAGGGGTGCTGCTTCCACTTTTGGTAATAACTCCCTTTACAATGATATTTTTTTTTCCTCAAATCGCAAAATTGTCCAAGATTGCATTGGCAGACATTAAACAAGGCGAGCAATCACTTTTAAGCAATAGTTATCTCTTTCACTCTGAAATTTACTCAGTATGTGGGAAATATATTCTACTTCATGCATTCAAGGTACAATAGCGATATAGTTTATACGTACTAAAAATTTGTTTTACATGTTAATAGATTTATTTACTTAGTTATTAAATTTTTATATTTCATTTTAGGTATTTGCTTGCATGATCGCCGTCACTGTACACAAGCGTCATCTCATGGTGTGGGGTATTTTTGCTCCAAAATTCATATTTACAGGGATTAGTTTTTTTGTTACTCTTGGTGGTATTTTGATATCAATACTTTTAATACTAAGGATTGAACATTGTCTTATAAAGTTTTTCTCTAAAATAAATGATAAGTAGACGAAGTAATCAACTTGTTAAAATTAAAAACCAAAGTACGTACAAATTTTAAGTGTAAAACTCTCTTAGTTCTAAATGAAAAAAATATATGTAAGCCACTCAATGAATGTATAATTTAATTTAAATGTATACCCTATATGACGTGCACAGTCTCGAATATAATACGGCACAATAAGTAAGACAGGCGGACAGCGGAGTGTGCACTTAAATCTAAGCGTGAAGGCGAATAATGAACGTCAAAGCAGTAATGTTTGAAATTTGAATTTTCAATGAAATGTACTGTTCATAAAAAAAAATTATAAATATTAAAGTACTATTTTTTCTACATCTACGTTTTAAAAATACCACTTTTGTCTGGTTTGTGGGGGGCAGATGAGTCATATTTTTTTTTCTTGAAAAAAAAATCTTAATTTTTCTCATAGGAAAGTATTTTATCATCCTCGGTGTATTTTCCATTACTCTTACCTTTAGTTAAAAAAGTAACTTTCACATTAATACAAAAAATATTTTTCTAACGATAAGTAGTTAACACTATATTTTTACATTTAACGTTACCATGCACTTTCTTACACTTCAAATACAAGAGAAAAATCACGTATATTTATATTGTATGCCTCAATACATATTTTTATCACGTTTAGTGGATGACATCACAAAATTTAATTTACTTACAATAAGCACCTGGTTTGTACACGAAGCTTCCGAGTTTTGTTTTCGAAATCGTGAGGAACATACCTGCAACAGAATGAAATTATTATTATTATTATTAATTTTTGAAAACAGTGTTTATTTATTAAAGGTTTTCCAAAAAAAAGTTTTCTGTATCATTTATTTATAATTGATTACAACAATAAATTAGTTATACTCTGTACACTATCGTCTTAAGTATTCTTTACCACATCTTCCCTATTTTTTCAGTTTTAAAATTCTTTTTTTATACATCGTACTAAATACATCAACACGCCATTGACAACTAAGAATGATAAGTATTATCAATGATTAAATATAATAAACAGTACCACTATTTGTGGATCCCAAGCAAAGAGAAGCACCATTAGCTGCCCACGAATAAAGTGCATAGTATGATGCACTTCGTTTTGACCAAAAGTAGTATTTATTTCAAGGATTAATTTATTTTCAATACAAAAAACGAAAACAACTAGAATATACTTTTATAATAATTATAACTGACAAAAAAAAATTTAGGTACAACGTAAGATCATTCATTTACACTAGCACTACATAGTTACTCGAATCTATTTTTATTTATTCCTTTTGTTGGTTACAAACGTAGCTATTTGCCACCAAAATGTTATAAATAGTGCTACTCTTCATTGAAATCTCAAAAATGCTAATCTTGGTCAGGCATTCATATATATCCATTGAGAACGGAAAATAAATGGTTCCACAATAAAGTTACGTGTAAACAAAAGTAAAGCGGTGGATTTTTTCCTCTTAACAAACAGACGAAACGATATGACAAGAGATACTCACGAAAATCTAACAAATTTTCCTTCATACGACGGTTTTAGGATTTTTGAGGTAAGGGGTATTTTGTAAAATTGTAAGAAAGAAAAATCTATTAATGCGTTGTAAAAATAACTAGTAAACACAGCGCACATATACGTATTTAAAGCTTAAAAATATCTTAAGAATAAAAATCAATATCATCCAATAGGAAATAATACAAAAAAATTTATTTTTTATTTTTATTGTATCGATCAAGTTTGTAAATCCTCTTCTCTCGAGAAAAAAGTTACAACGTCGGTGTTGATGTTGATGTTGGAAGAGCAATGCATTTCGTTCTAGCTCGTCCTGAGTTTTGTTTTCCATAAAATTACTTAAAAAATTATTTTAAAGGAAAAGTTTTAACAGTCATACAGTATATAAAAGCGCAGCAAGACTACTTTCGTGTTATTTTATTTAGTTGTTGCACAGGAAAAAAGTTGGGTGGACTATCTGCTTAACTTTACTGTGTACAGCGCCCCCAGTGGTTGGTGTTGCTGCTCACCCAAGTAAGGTGAACTGCTCACCCAAAGCGCGCGAACGGCAACACCAATAGACAAGAGTTTGGTTAAGTAGACTTTTGGTGCTGCTCGCCCACTTTGGGTGAGCAGTTCACCCAACTTGGATTAGCAGCAACACCAACTACTGGGGGGCGCTGTACACAGTGAAGTTGAGTAGACAGTCCACCCAACTTTTTTCCAGTGTAACGACAATTTTTATGAAATTCTCCACAGCTGCACTTCATCGACAAGTGGTTTGTATAAAAAGTATAAAATAATAAAGTGAATCAATTTTTTATGAATATCCTACACTTCCCTAATTTTTATTTATTAACAAAGAAAACTGGTTAAAATTACGATACGTATGTTACAATCCTTTATCCATGTAAATATTAATTATGAAGATGGAAAGTAATTAACAAATACAGTATTCGTCACACAGTAAAACGATAAAGTTCTTGAGAACGGGAGCAATGGTGGATGTTGAATTTCACGAGATAAAGTGCACAAGGTAATGTACTGAGGTAAAAGTCTCTGATGTACTCTGATGTACTGTGCGTTTGAAGAATAAAAGTTATAAATTGCAAAGTCGTATCAAGTTCGAATTCATTGCATACGACTTCGGCTTCAGTACGATGCGTCTACGATATGCATAAACGTAGGGGCTCGCAGTCGACAAATGCGATATCTATAAATTCATTTACACATTGAATTCAAGTTACAGTGCATTTATACTGGCATCCCTCCTAAAAAATTTCATAAAACTCTCTAGCGTGTTGTGGTGTCAAACAGACAAATTCAGACAACGCTGGTTTTCTCATGCAAATTTTTGTGTGAAAAAAAAGTTTTAGCGGAGCTTGTCTGCCCGAAAGTATGGCAGGTCACGTTAATCTTATGGATTGAATATCCTGACAATGCAAACTGTCATCAAGCATCGGCTAGTCAAATACTATATTAGCCAGCTGTTCAGGATTTTTTTTCATCTGCGTGATGATTAGTCTGATTATTCGTGCCGTCTGTACTCCAGAGCCATCTACCGGTGCCAGGTAATCGTAATGCCCCGGTAGTCTTTTGGAATAGTCGCGCGTCATCTTGTCTCATCTTGCGTCATCTGAGTCGTCTAGTTTTATCTCGAGTCGTCTCTCGTTAACTCGAGAAGATGCATTTCGACCCGCGAAGACGCGTGTGCACTCGTTGGAGACGCGCGCACATCTAACCGTGCTATACTACAATCTCGCGGGCATTCAAGAGACCAGGGGTCTTATTGAGTGCTTCGATATACTCAATACGGTTCGAGTTTGACCGTCTCGAAACTCGCGGGAAATTCAAAAATAATGATCTGCACCGGTTGTTTATCGGGAGGCCGTGACTTTGTCGACAGAGTTCGATGATAAAGCAGAATTTCGGTGGATAATGTCAGAAATGCCAAGATATATATGGAGATAATAAGATTCTATAAAAAAAGTTTATGAAAATAGTTTTTCTGTATGATGCGAAATCATGTCAAAATAGATGGAGTAACCGAAATTTATCGTCATCGAGGAAAAACATTATGATATGTAGGTATCATTTAATTTAAAAAATAACAATGAAAAGGTAAAATGACCAATTTATAAACAAATATTTTGTAAAATAAATGAAATCTTTATTGTTTCTGTGAACAATCGAGTTTACTTAATGCCTACCAAACCTTTACATTTTTTTTCTTCAAACACAAGGTATCTTTTTTTTCTATATTTTACATATATTAATATGCAATTACACCTTATCAATAAATAACTTACAATTACATCGGTTTCTAAACAGAAATGACTATGCAGTAGGCAATGCAAAAGTAACAAAGTTATTTACGAGCATACGATATTGTTATAAAAGAGTTTATTAGAAAAATATTAACTGTACGAAAGAATAATTGTTGATTATTTGAGGAGTTTGCAGCTGTGAAGATTACTTTTTTTTCTTTCTTTTTTTTGTCTTATCATTGTTATTGTTATTTTTCATCAAACTCAAAATTTCTGGCTAAACAATAAAAAAGTAATGAAAAAGAAGGGCTACTTTTTTTGAACATAATATTAACTTATTCATGTTTCATGCATAGAAGTCTATGAAAGGACTTTTTCAATCAGTTTATCAAAGAAACACATTTATCTTTTGGTTACAATTGAGACCAATAAAAAAAAAGCTTTAAAATTAGTTCTATGAATCACAAGCGGTAATAGAACTAAACGTGCGCTTAAAAAAAAAAAAAAAAAACACTTACATTTTTTCGATCAAAAATTCTCGAAAACCTAATTATTAATAATCGACGTACGTTAAAAATATACATACGGAGATGAGCCCGTATAAAATTTTGAAACTCAAAGTTTAATGCGCCTTAAATGGCAGATTACATAACTAAGTTGCTTAACATACTAAATTGTATACCTTCATGTTGGCACACAAGTTCACTAGTCTTTTTCGTGCTTGTGTAGCTTCTCAAACAAATTAACTACATGCTTGGTGTTTTCCCAATGACTTCGATCATGCCTAGTTGAGCATCAATCAGTTTCATTTTCTTCTCATTCATTTCTTTTTTCGATGACACGAGTTGCTGAATGGTTGTTGTCAGATTGTTAATAGCCTTTGTATTTAAAGTTATGCACTGGTGTAGACTATGCTCTTCGGTTAGTGAAGTGTTCGGTGAAGGACTCTCGTTCCGAACAGGGCTAGGAACTGAATTACCCAATGAAATGCGCAACAAGATTTGTATATTAATAGAGAAATTAATTTTTTTAAGGGGATAATAAAATGACTTACCATATTTAGAGCGCCACATAGTATTGTATTTTTGCATATTGAGTTTAAAGTTATGCTCCGGTGAAATTTCAATGCGTGCTAGATTTTGTTGAGTAGACATGCCTGTAAAGTTAAACGATCGTTTACAAAAAATTTTGTAAAGCATTATATTGCTTCGAGTAATAAAACAATAAGCTATACCCGGATTGCTTTCCTCAT